TATGTTTGCAACTTAAGCTACACAAGTAAACCAAGTTCTGCCTCATCACAAGCTACTAGTGTCTTCTCTAACACATAACCAACATTCTCCCTCTACAAAGCCTCCTTCCTCACCTACACCACCTCCCTCCACCCCACCAAGCAAGCCTATTTCGTTACCCTCATCAACACCCTCTCCACCTGTCCTCGCCAGCTCTTCTCCCCTTTCAAATCCCTGCTCTCTCCCCCCCCCACCCCCACTCAGCACCTCACTCACCGCCCACGAGATTGCCAATCATTTCCAAAACAAGATTGACGCAATCCGTAAGGACATTGTCAACTCACAATCTACCTCTCCACCTAGACCCCCCCTCCATCACCCCCTCAACTCTCCCCTCCTCCGACCTCATACCCGCACTGCCCCGCACCATACCTAACACCCCGCACACTATCACCTCCCCAGCGCTCCGCTCCTTCAGCCCAGCTACCACTGAGGAGGTCACTAAGGTCTTCACTGAAGCGCGCCTCACCACTTGCCCCCTGGACCCTATCCCCTCGCAGCTCCTCCAGTCACCCCCCTCCTCCATCATTCGCTCCCTCACCCACATCTTCAATCTCTCCCTCTCCACTGGCACATTTAGGGGGGCATCATCCCCCCTAAAGCAGGCACACATCACCCCCATACTCAAAAAACCCTCCCTTGACCCTACTGACCCAAACAACCTTAGACCCATCTCCCTGTTACCATTCACTTCCCAGCTCCTTGAGCGCTTGGCCTATAATCGCCTAAGCGCCCACTTCACTGATAACAACCTCCTTGATCCACTACAGTCAGGCTTCCGTCCCCTACACACCACCAAAACCACCCTACTTAAAATCACTAACGACCTGCTAATCGCCAAAGCTAATGGCCACTACTCAGTCCTCCTGCTCCTCGATCTCTCCGCGGCCTTCGACACAGTCGACCACCCCCTCCTCCTTACAAAACTGCACTCCCTTGGCATCAGGGATGCTGCTCTCTCCTGGTTATCCTCCTACCTTTCCCAATGCTCCTTCAGCGTCACCTATATTGCTGCCACCTCCCCCTCTCTCCCCTTCTCTGTTGGAGTCCCCCAAGGCTCTGTCCTCGGACCCCTCCTCTTTTCCATCTACACCTCTTCCCTTGGCAAACTGATACACTCCCACGGCTTGAACTATCACCTCTATGCCTACAACGCACAAATTTACCTCTCCACCCCCCACCTCACCCCCTCACTCTCTGCCCGCATCGCCCACCTCCTGAACGACATATCAGACTGGATGTCGCTCCATTTTCTTAAGTTAAACATGTCCAAAACTGAGCTCCTGGTTTTCCTCCCAGCCCGCGCCCCCCCCTCCCATTCTCTCCATCACTACTAGCAACGCCACCATCAATCCCACCCCACACGCCAAAAACCTTTCCTTCCAACCTCATGTCCAATCACTATCAAAGTCATGCAGGCTCCACCTCCGCAACATCTCCAAGATACGTACGTTCCTCACCCCAGACACTACTAAGCAACTCGTACACTCCCTCATCATCTCACGCCTGGACTACTGCAACTCCCTTCTCACTGGCCTACCCAAACAAACACTATTCCCACTCCAGTCTATCCTGAACTCAGCGGCTAGACTCATCCACCTCATCAACTGCTCCACATCTGCCACCCCCCTCTGCCAATCCCTTCACTGGCTACCGATTGCCCAGCGCATCAAATTCAAATTACTCACTCTGACCGAGAAAGCCATTCACAACGCTGCCCCCAAACTACCTAACTGACCTCATACCCAAATACCACCCTACCCGTGCCCTTCGCTCCTCACAGGACCTCCTACTCTCTAGCTCCCTGGTCTCCTCCTCCCACGCCCGACTGCAGGACTTCTCCAGGACTTCCCCCATCCTCTGGAACTCCCTACCCCAATCCATCAGACTGTCACCTACCCTCCTCACCTTCAGGCGCACCCTGAAAACCCCATCTCTTCAGGGAAGCCTACCCCACCCTCACCTAACAACCGATCTCCTCCACTTCTCCCCACCACTCCATCCCCCACAGCCACTTCCTCCTGTACCACTTCCCCTCCCTCCTAGATTGTAAGCTCAAAAGAGCAGGGCCCTCGAACCCCTCGTGTATTGTATTGTTACTGTTTTGTCTCATGTTCTGTCCCCCTTGCTATTGTACAGCACTGAGCAAACCCTTTGGTGCTATATAAATACTGTATAATAATAATAATAATGTACTGTGATCTTTATATAGCCCCAATAAAGGTAGTGTGTTTCAGCTGAAACACAATAGCCAACGTTTCACCTACTGACATGCAATAAATTATTTTAAAGATGTCTTCTAACATCTGAATGTACAGAGAGAAGTATTGATAATAAAAACCCTCACTTTGAATTATGATCATCTGGTGTTAATAGACATCTTTAAATGGTTCTAAAGCCTAAACATTTTTTACCATAATGTATTCATAATGTAACAAACGATTAAGTAAATAATTGCCTCCCCCGCCACCCATACTTACCTGTGTCCTCACTCAATCTAGCACTGTGTCCATCTGTTGTGCAGCTCTCTCCTCTTCTTGCTCTCACCGGCTTTGCAGAAAACAATTAACCATTGGCTCCAGCTGTTGCCAGTCAAATCCTGTAAAGAAGGAGCAGAGGGGGGGGGGGCCATGCCTCACTGTCAATGTCTATAGATGCAGGCAGCGAGACTCCGGATTGAGCCCAAAGGTGTGCCACAACAGGAGTCTTATTTGGCACACATAGAAGAGGAGGAGCCAGTAGTGCTGATGGAACCGAAAAGAGGATGTTCAGGGACGCTCTGTGCAATTTCATCTTTAAAAAATTTACAATCACTTTAACAGCCAATTAACTGTGAAAAATGAATTACTAATCTAAAAATGCCATCAATTATCTTTTTTGTCTATTATGTTTTTATGGCCATGGATATACTGTATCTAAATATGTATGTATTGAAAGTGTTGTGAAAGTTAGGGTAAAGGTTGGCTTTTTTACAAGGAATAAGCTTCAAGAATGAACTGCACATACATAAAGTGACCCTGTTGGGATAGAGGTACAGGATCTTCCTGGCATTTCTACCCTCCTTCTGAAAAATACTTGGTGCCTAGCCGTTTCTGCCAACAATACGTTTTGAGTTCACACCCTAGAACAGGAGTGTCAAACTGGCGTCCCTCCAACTGTTGCAAAACTACAAGTCCCGTGGGGCATTGCAAGGCTGACCGTTACAAGCATGACTCCCAAAGGCAGAGGCATGATGGGACTTGTAATTTTACAACAGCTGGAGAGCTGCCATTTGACACCCCTGCCCTAGAACAAGTAATTCCTTATTCTTATACTTGTTCCAGCTCACTTACTTACGAGGCATTTAGGCCAATGTATCAATATGACAGCCAGGCAATGAGTATCTTTAGAAGTGACAGTTAGCAATGGTAGCTTCCATCATCTTTTAATCTCAGTGTCAGTGGGACAATAAGCAAGAAAGCAGGGGATGACTTTAATAGTGAAGTAGGTTGCTGGAATAATATACTTAAGCTGGCTGTAGATGGGTAGAATTTCAAATTAAAAATCTTAGGAAAAGAATGTTCTAAAAAAGTTAATTCAGTTATCGTGGGTCCAATCATTTTTTACCGCAGTGACAAAGTTCGAAGCAGCAGGATGGAAAATGTCTCAAACTATTGAATTTCTAACAGTGTATGTGACAGGGTTGCCAACCATCCTTAAATTTACAGACAGTTTGTAAAAATCGTCAGATTTTTACACTGCATATTACTATTATTGTTATTGTCCATAAAAAAATATGCCCGCTGGCTGGCTTTAGAACTTTGGAGCCTGGGCAGGCTCGGACAGGAGTCGGTCTCTGAGAAGGGGAGGGAGCTGCTTCATGCTGCTTGGCTTGACAGCATCATATTTAGAATACATCAGGGGGAACTGGGCCAGGAGTCACGCAGAATTGGGAGACAGGAGTGCCGCCAGCCGCCACGCCAAGGAGTGCTATATGGCTATTTGAGAACTGGGAATTTAGGATACAGAGTGGAGCTATGCTACTGGACATAAAGGGGTGGTGCGTTGCTATAGGAATGAATGCAGAGGAGCAGTGTGCTATTGGAATTGAGGGAATGCAGAGAGAGAAGTGGTGCTATTGGGAATGGGGGAATGAAGAGACAGGAACGTGCTATTGGGAATGAAGGAATGCAGAGGAGTGGTGCTATTGAGAATGGAGAAATGCAGAGGAGTGGTGCTATTGGGAGTAGGGAAATGCAGAGAAGTGGTGCTACTGGGAATGGGGGAATGCAGAGAGAGGGGCAGTGCTATTGGGAATGGGACAATGCAGAGAGAGCAGCGGTGCTATTGGAAATGAGGGAATGCAGTGAGAGCAGCAGTGCTATTGGGAATGGAGGACTGCAGTGGAGTGGTGCTATAAAGATGTAGAGGAGCAATGCTATTGAGGGTGCAGAGGAGCTGTGGTATTGAGGATGCAAGCACCAGGAAACTCTGGAACGGCAGGCGTCTGCTCTAAGCACATGCAAAGACTTCCTAGGCACCTGGTCTAGGCTCTTATCTCCTCACACACCCTCCCCAGACAGCAGCCCGGAGGAAAGAGAGCTATCACATGGCCCTCTCCAAATATTTATGCTCTCCCCAGGATGCACTAGTTGCAATACACCTCCTACTGGTTGGCTAGGGGAAACATAAATATTCATAACTCAGACTTACTGTAGCTTCTCATACAATTGTTTGATGCACCAGTGACACCTA